TGGAAATGAGCGCATTTTATTGTTCTGCTGTTGTTAAAATTGTTTTGAATTGCTCAGTGTTGCAGATATCCTGATCTTTGATGCGGGCAGCAACATCTCTGGCAGTGATATCACTGGCATAGTTACTGTCTGAGCAATGAGTGGCAAACTCAGCCTTGGGAAAAGGGTCTTGCATTGCAGCACCTTGTTATATTCTTCACATTGACTTGATTGATTCACAACCATTGTTACTTTGTCATCAGTCACGGCCATTGTTACACACAGGAAATTTGTATTTTTTGTTGGCAAGGTGGATATTGGCCAGTGCACTGAGAAAATTTCTCTGCTCTTGTTTGAGTAATACCCTGAGATCTTTAACGTCTACCAAAACAGTCTCAATTTACTGTTTCTTGCAAGGATCAATGCAGTGAAAACATAGCATTCGGACACTTCACTGAATGTCTTCCTGAGTTTTCTTTTTGAAATCTGTTCCGTTGAGCATTCCTGATTTTAATTGCGCCACCAATTCTGGCTGTGCATTCAGCTGCACTGGGCCTAAACTATGGAATATTCACCCTATGCTGATCACCTCGCTCCCACGCTTTCCTCTTGTGAATCTACCTCTTTGTCCAAGCTTTTGATCATCTTTGCTAATGCCTTCCTATGTGATTCTGTGTCGAATTCTGTTTGATAAAGTGCCTGTCAAATACCTTGGAGGACATTTTATAAATGCAAGTTGTAGTTTATGTTCATTGGGACAGGACATGAACCCACAACCTTCTGTCTCCAAGATAAGAATGGGCTGACCCCAAACCAGCACATTACATTCAAATTAATATTAGAAATAATGTTATTGGATAATATAGAGCGAATACCATGGTTTGAGGCAAGTTTTATACTTTGTGTTTGTGATTCTACCTTGACTCTTGACATATCTTTAAGCTGGACCATTTGGATATTCTGAGAGCAGATGTAGACTTATGCTATGTAGCTGCATAATAAATAACTACTGGATAAAACAGATGGAGTTAAAACACTCTTTGAATTATGTAAAGTAGACATCAGTCATTGCACTGCAAACAATGATTTTTTAATATAACTCTCTGATTAAAGGCTTCAGATGTTTTGCTATATTAAAACTGCTATATAAATGCAAAGTTGTTGTTTCTTGCTGTGAATGATCTTCAGAAAAATATTAGTGACCAGTAACGAGTGAAGCATTTTGACTGCACTTTCTCCGTAACCATATTTTGTTTGAAGAATTGATGAAGTCTTATAGCCCAATCCATGATTCAGGTTGTCTATCATAAAAACTCCGCAATCTGCATTCTTTGAAATGGATGCTTGTAGTATTGCTTTGTTAGATCTTGTGCATTTAACATGGTGGTGAGCCTTCAGATTAATAGGAAACTAAAACTTAAGTTCATATGTGGCAAGAGCTACACTACAGACATCAGAAATGAGTAAGATTGGAAAAAAATATATAGAGTGACAAAAAAATGTGTAAAATTGTTACCAGACCTGAGAGCTATGAGAATCAAGAGAAACTGAAAAGACTGGGACTCGTTTCTCTAGAAAATAAAATGTTAAGGTGTAATCTGATAGTGGTCATTAAAATTGTGAAAGCATTTGACAATTTATGCGTCGAGATATTTCCAAAAGTAGATGAGACCACAATTAGGAGCTATAAATATGAGTCACTAATAACTCCTGAACCAACTTCTTAAACTCATTCAGTGAACTTGGTTTCACTGTCTGGTACGGCATTTGTTGCCCGGCATTTATTGCCCATCCCTAGTTGCCCTTGACGTGATGGTAAACTGCTTCTTGAACTTGTGCAGTTCATTTTGAGAAAGGGTCACTGAATCCAAAATGTTAAGTCTGCTTTCTGTCCATAGATGCAGAATTTCTCCAGCAATTTTTGTTTTTGTTTCAGTTCATTTTGTGTAAGTGGATCCACAGAGGCAATTCCTTGCCAGTGTTGGCCAGTTTTGGCCCAGTGACAGTGAAGGAAGAGTGTTATATTTTTAAGTCAGAATGGTGAATGACTTGAAGTGGAATTTCCAGGTGTTCCCATGTATCTGCTGCCCTTGTGCTTCTAGATAGAAGTGGTCATAGGTTTGGAAGGTGCACCCTAAGGATCTTCAGTGAATTTCTGCAGTGCATCTTGTAAATAGCACACTCTGCTGCTCATGAGCATCAGTGGTGGAGGGAGTGGATGCTTGTGGATTTGATGCCAATCAAGCAGGCTGTTTTTCCATGGATGGTGTCAAGCTTTTTGAGTGTCGTTGGAGCTGCACCATCCAGGTAACCACCATCCAGGTAAGTGGGGCATATTCCATCACACTCCTGAATTGTGCCTTGTAGATGGTGGACAGACTTTGGGGAGTCAGGAGGTGAGTCAATTGCTGCAAGATTCCTAGCCTCTGATTGCCTTTGTAGTGACAGTATTTATAAGTCCACTTTATTTATATGGCTAGTCCAGTTCAGTTTCTGGTAAGTGATAACACCTAGAATGTTGACTGTGGGGATTCAGAGATAGTATTATAGTGCAATGGTTAGATTGTCTCTTGTTGAAGAGATCAGTCCAAGTCTCGATATTGTCTGGGTCTTGTATTCGGATAGGTACTATTTCAGTAACTGAGGAGCCATGACTGTTGCTAAACGTTGTGCAATCATTGGTGAACATCCCTACTTCTGATCTTATGATGGAGGCAAGATCATTGATGAAGCAGCTGTAAGTGGTTTGTCTAAGATGTTACCCTTACAAAGTCCTGCTGAGATAACTGACCGCAAAGAGGTGTACCATCTTCCTAATTTATGCTTCTTTACTGAGATAAATTTGGAAATGTGGTACTTGTTACCAAATGGATTGATTGAAGTGAATAGCATAGATATACCTAACGATCAGCTCAATGAATATACAAGAGAAAGAAATAGAAGAACATGCAGATTTGGTTTAAAATAGGAGAATGGGAGGAGGATCACACAGAGCATCAACACTGGCATAACTCAGCCTGGCTGAATTGTAGCAATATCTGGTCAGAACTATAGGTTTGATGAGAAATAAGTACACTTAATTAGGTTGGAAACATTTAAATTATTTAAAAAGCATTTAATGATAAAGGTTCATTTTGGACTTAATCATTAAAATCACCATTACAGCTAACAAAAATCAAAACGCTCTAATTTGAAATTGGAATATACCTAGAAGGGCTCATGGAGATGGGGAATGCTATTAAAGTTAATTTAGTCATAATATATTCAGCACAGATATTGAAAAGGTGTAAGTAATAGTTTCATCGCTGAAAGTGACCTGTACTTGAGATACTTTCTGTTATTTTTCTGTTGAATATTCACAATCTGACGAGCAGAAACCAAAGTGAGATAACAAGGTGTAGAGCTGGATGAACACAGCAGGCCAAGCAGCATCATAGGAGCAGAAAGGCTGATGTTTCGGGCCTAGACCCTTCATCAGAAATGGCGGAGAGGAAGGGGGTTTTGAAATAAATAGGGAGCGAGGGGGAGGCGGATAGAAGATGGATAGAGGAGAAAATAGGTGGAGAGGAAACAGACACGTCAAAGAGGCGGGGACGAGCTGGGCTGGTTTTGGGATGCGGTAGGAGGAGGGGAGATTTTGAAGCTTGTGAAATCTACATTGATACCATTGGGCTGCAGGGTTCCCAAGCGGAATATGAGTTGCTGTTCCTGCAACCTTCAGGTAGCATCGTTGTGGCACTGCGGGAGGCCCAGGATGGACGTGTCATCTGAGGAGTAGGAGGGGGAGTTGAAATGGTTCGCGACTGGGAGGTGCAGTTGTTTATTGCGAACCGAGCGTAGGTGTTCTGCAAAGCGGTCCCCAAGCCTCCACTTGGTTTCCGCGATGTAGAGGAGGCCACAACGGATACAGCGGATGCAGTATACCACATTAGCAGATGTGCAGGTGAACATCTGCTTGATGTGGAAAGTCTTCTTGGGGCCTGGGATGGGGGTGAGGGAGGAGGTGTGGGGACAGGTGTAGCACTTCCTGCGGTTGCAGGGAAAAGTGCCGGGTGTGGTGGGGCTGGAGGGGAGTGTGGAGCGGACAAGAGAGTCACGGAGAGAGTGGTCCCTTGCAGGAATAGCAACTCATATTCCGCTTGGGAACCCTGCAGCCCAATGGTATCAATGTGGATTTCACAAGTTTCAAAATCTCCCCTCCCCCTACCGCATCCCAAAACCAGTCCAGCTCGTCCCCGCCTCCCTAACCTGTTCTTCCTCCCACCTATCCCCTCCTCCCACCTCAAGCCCCACCCCCATTTCCTACCTACTAACCTCATCCCGCCCCCTTGACCTGTCCGTCCTCCCTGGACTGACCTATCCCCTCCCTAACTCCCCACCTACACTCACCTTTACTGGCTTCATCCCCGCCTCTTTGACCTGTCTGTTTCCTCTCCACCTATTTTCTCCTCTATCCATCTTCTATCCGCCTCCCCCTCTCTCCCTATTTATTTCAGAACCCCCTTCCCCTCCCCTATTTCTGATGAAGGGTCTAGGCCCGAAACGTCAGTCTCTCTGCTCCTAAGATGCTGCTGGCCCTGCTGTGTTCATCCAGCCCTGCACCTTGTTGTCTCGGATTCTCCAGCATCTGCAGTTCCTACTATCTCAGAAACCAAAGTGCTTTAATTCTCAGAATGCACTCAAATCTGAGTGAATTGTAGGTCTGTTTAATGGTTTAATGATTTTGTATGAAATCTGTTTGCATATTTCAAAACAAAAAGAATCATTCTTGTCAGATGCATAATTTTTCAATACCTCGGAGGTGAGTACATTTCAGATAACCATCTGCTCCTAATTTGAAGTTATTTATAAATTTTTGTTTTATTTTGCTGTGTTATCCACTTCACTTAAGTTATTGGGAAATGTAAGAATTTTTACAATTGCAAAGAATTGACTTTGAGTCTGTATCAGTGGACTGTATATAGATGGACTTGCCTTGATTTTGAAATGCTACCATTGATAAAATGAATGTTTCTTTTCAGACAAAATGGGGTGTCACAGTGACAGCGAACTTTTCATGGACAACTACTGCAGGGTTTGCTGTGCCATGTTGATCTCAGAAGTACAGAGAACCACACATTATGAGGTAGTTTTTAAATGATAAGCACGTATAAATAAAATATTGTCCATTGCATTTTTGTTTTTCACCAGAACCTGTGACCACCCCACAACACTCATAATCTGGTTTTGTAAAATACCTTCCCGGTCAACTGAAACTCTTGTTTCAATAGATGTACTATTCAGTCAGTCTTTGCTGTTGTCACTTGACATTCTTTAAATGCTGTTTGTGTGTCACAGACAAGCCATTATTTATTTTCTGTGTACCTGTAAATTGGATACTTTCTCATTGAAAAATGTTTTTTTTTCGTTGTGATCTTATGAGGTGTACTTCTGTTGTAGTATTATGGAAATGTTCACATGCAACAATAGTTAATCATAAAGTAAAATAGCAGCTGGAATAATAAAACAGGAGCCCCAACCTTTACACCTGGGATGCCACATTTCAGGGATAACACCGTGTGGAGCTGGAGGAACACAGCAAGCCAGGTGGCATCAGGAAAGTTGACGTTTCAGATCAGGACCTTTCAGGTGTTTTTTTTCATCTGTCTGCTGTGAAGCAAGTTTCAGAAAGAAAAGTCATCAGATGAATAGAAATTTATCTTGCTAATATTAGTGTTAGACTGCTAATTTAGTGATATTTTCAATAATTTATCTTCAGTGTTTTCATTAACACTAAGGAACAGAGTTAACATTTTCAGTCATAGAACATAGAACAGTACATCCCAGGGACAGGCCCTTTGGCCCACCATGTCTAGGTCGATCACAATGCCATTCTAAACTAATCCCATCTGCCTGCACATTTTCAAAATCCCTCTATTCCCTGCCTGTTCATGTGTTTATAAATGCCCCTTAAACTTTGCTGATGTATCTTCTTCTACCACCTCACCTGGCAGTGCATTCCAGGCACCTGCCACCCTCTGTGGGGGAGCAAAAAACTTTATTCACTTCATTCTAACTTAAGGTTTTCCCCTCTCACCTTAACCTGAGCCTCCTAGATTGTGACATTTTCCACCCTTGGAAAAAAGACTCTGACTATCACTCTATCTATGCTTCTCGTAATTTTATATACTTTTATCACGTCGCCCCTCAGTCTCTGACGCTCTAGCAAAAATAATCCAAGTTTGTCCAACCTCCCCTTATAGCTAATGCACTCCAATCCAGGCAGTGTCCTGGTAAAACTCTTTTGCACACTTTCTAAAGCCTCCATATCCTTCCCAAGAGAAAAGCTGTTCTTTGGAACTGTAAAGGATTGAATAATGGTGCTTTTTTATGCTGTTCAAAAAGGAGGAGGAGGAGTAAGTGGAACAGAAAATGAAGGTGCCCAGAACAAAGGACAAAGGGGGTGCTAATGGTAACAAAAGGGATATCTACGTACAGAATCAGTGTTAGTGATGGGTGTGAATAATCAGAAATAGTTTGACTTTGTTGTTAATGAACATAGTTGGCTAGCAGTATTAGATCCTAGTTTAATCTTGTGTTACTTCTTGGCTTTATTCTTAAATTAACAAAGACACAGTGCTATGTCATAGGCAGGAATTAAGGGCTATTCTTCAATTACTTCAGTTGTGATTCTGTTGGTAGCAGCCTACCTTGCTCGAGAATAAGTGGAGGAATATTCTAAATATGGACAAGTGGTCTCCAAATACAAACATTTCTGTCATCTCAGAAGATTGACTTTTCTTTTGTGACTCTGAACTTGATTGTTCAATACTATGCTGTTTCACACTTCAAAACCTACCCCTTGCAAAGAACATTTTGTTTGTGCAATTTTGTTTGAAAAGAATTGCAATATATTGCAATTTTAGCAGAAGGCAGAAATCAGGCATGGTAGTAACAGAGTATTGTATACTCCAGCTGATATTCCTGCACATGGAGTGTCTTGGGAGTTCAGAGAGTGGAGCAAAAGTAGATCAAATGCCACATTTGAAATACAGAAAGATGAAATCTTTCAGCTGTATCATTTAGGAATCAATGAAATCCTGCTGTCAGGATTGGAAACATGCCATCAGATTTATATCTAAGCAGTTTATCAGGATCAAGGGGGACATTTTAGTGGCAGCAGCTGATTCAAAGCTTTCCACTAGGACTTATTTCCGATTAGGGTTGGTGCCTTGTTTCTCTGAGATACTTGTAAAAGTGGCAGCTACTGAGGCTGGAAGTAGGAGAGGGCACCTCCTGGTTCACAAGCCCATTGATGGCCGTATAATTATGTTTTCATATGGGTGGATCAGGCAGGCACAAGCGATCACCTTCTTCTAGCAGGATCGGCAGCCTTCCCCCACCCCATGCACATTCCAGCCCCCACCACCAGTCCCCCACCTACCCTGTTGTAAGAGTCTCTGAGTACGAGCCCACCCACTGTGCTATCCCCATACCCAGTGACCTTTCCAGGCCTCAGAAAGCCCTGACTGTTCACACCATGTGCCATCCCGCTGCTTCCCCATCATCAGCAAATGTGAGTGAGAAACCACCTGTGCTTTTTTTATTATTGTTCAATCAGGGCTTGTGCACTTCGCTGGCTAGGCCAGCATTTATTGACCATCCCTAATTGCTATTGAGAAGGTGGTGGTGAGCTGCCTTTTGAGCCGCTCAAGTCCATTTGGTGTAGTATCTGCTGCTCTTGTCCTCCTAGATAGGAGTGATCATAGGTTTGGAAGGTGCTGTCTGAGAAACTTTGGTAAATCAGATGAGCAGCTCCTTACAGAATCTTTTATCCGCATTTAGTATATTTCAGAAACTGGGTAATGGGGAGATCTTTGAATGGCCAGACTGTAACCCAACCGCAAGTTGGACAACTTCATGTAAAGATTTGGCAGAATCGGGCAATTGTGCCCAAATTCTATTTGAAGATGTGCAGGTTAGGTTACGATTCAGAATTCATTTGTGTAATCAAATATGTAAAATCCTCCTTGAACCAGGGCAAGATACTTCATTATTGTTCTTTCCATTGAGAAGGCCGAATGGCCTTATTTCTGCTCCTATGTCTTATGGTCTTATCAAGGGTTACAGGGAGAAAGCAGGAGAATGGGATTGAGGAACTTATCAGCCATGATTGAATGGCGGAGCAGACTCCATGGGCCGAATGGCCTAATTTCTGCTCCTATGTCTTATGGTCTAAGATTTTGCATGAGAGAGAGAGATAGAAGAAAGAGAAAGAAAAAGACAGAGACAGAATAAAGAGAAAGAAGAAAGAGAAAGAAAGAGAGAGAGAGGAAGAAGAAAGTGAAAGAGAGAGAAAGAAGGAAGAGAAAGACACAGGAAGGAAGAGATGGAGTAGAAACAGAAAGAAAGACGAGAAAGAGAAAGAAGAAAGAGAAAGAAAGTGAGAGAGAGCAAAAAAAAGAGATTGAAGAATGAGAGAGAGATAGAAGAAAGAGAGGGAGAAAGAATCAAGGGAAAGAAAGAGAGACAGAAGAAAAAGATAAAGAAGGAGGGAGAGAAAGAAGAAAGTGAAAGAAAGAGAGAAAAATAGAAGAGAAAGAAATACAAAATAGAAAGAGAGAGACAGAAGAAAGGGAAAGAAGAAAGAGGGAGAGAAAGATTACATCAGTCATGGGAGTGATGTAATTTTTAATAATACTGAATATGGATTTATCAACAGAATAAACATTTTTAATAAAACGCCTTGGCCTACACCTGTGAGCAAGCAGATTTAAAATAATTGAAAATTATGTTAAAAGTTACACTGAACTGATAGGTTTTTTTAATTCATTAACGAGATGAAGGCGTCTCTGTCTAGGCAACATTTATTACCCGTCCCTAATTGCTTAGAGGGCAGTTCAAAGTCAACTACAGTGCTGTGGGTCTGGAGTCACATGTAGGTCAGACCAGGTAAGGATGGCGGTTTCCTTTCCTAAGGGATATTAGTGAACGAGATGAGTTTTTCTGACAATCAACAATGGATTCATGGTCATCATTAGATTCTTAATTCCAGATATTTTATTGAATTCAAAATCCACCATCTGCCATGGCGGGATTGGAACCTGCGTCCCCAGAATGTTATCTGGGTCTCTGGATTGAATAATCCAGCAATAACACCATTAGGTCATTCCCTCCCCTCATATTTTCACTAGAGCAGTGAAACAATTAGTCAGTTTCCAAGTACATTAAATATCTTGTTGGTGCAAACGTCTTTTAGACGTATCACTAGCTGTGAAAATGAATGCTGTTTGAAGAGGTTTTCCAAACTAGTATAGAGGTTTATAATATCATGAGGGGCATGGATAGGGTGAATAACCAAGGTCTTTTCCCCAGCATTGGGGAGTCCAAAATTAGAGGGCTCGGGTTTAAGGTGAGAGGGGGAAGATTTAAAATGGACCTGAGAGGCAACTTTTTCACGCAGAGTGTGGTGCGTGTGTGGAGTGAGCTGCCAGAGGAAGTGATGGAGGCTGGTACAACTACAACATGTAAAAGGCATCTGGATGGGTATATGAATCGGAAGGGTTTAGAGGCTTGTGGGCCAAATTCTGGCAAATGGGACTAGACTGATTTAGAATATTTGGTCAAAAGGGTCTGTTTCCATGCTATACAGCTTTATGACTCTAAGTGCAGTAGATGTTATATCACAAATTTGACGTGAAGGCTTGACTAGTTTTGGGGGATGAGCCTGATCTGAGCAAAATGAACTAGCAGAAAACGTGAACTTCCGTGATTTTGAGCATGATTTGGCATTAAAATTTCCCAATTTTTGTTTTGAGTTTATCAAGCTGGTTGACCTGAGTGCCAGTGTAAGCAATTACATCCACGTATTACCATCAGGTATCCTTCTAACCTCAACTGCTCACTTTTCTCTATCTCACCAATGCCTCTTAACTCATGACTGCTTCTTTCTGTTTAACAATAATTGAAAATTAAACTCACTCCCTGTGCTTTTGTTTGTTTTAAAGAGCAAAAAACATGCCAACAAGGTGCGCTCTTACTTTCAACTGCATAAAGAAGAAGGAACACCATCAAAAAAAATCAAAACAGAGAATGTAGCTGTTGGCTTCCAGGTGGGTATTTTTACATTGATGAAGATGTTTCTCAATTCACTTTGCAGTGAAGCCGGACATTATAGTAATACTGAACAGTTACAATGTATTTGCAAGGCCCCAGCTGGAATTGTGTCTTCTTTTCTGGGCACCTTGCTTTAGGAAGGACAAACAAGAATTTACAGCGAGGATGTAAGGCAGATTTACAAGAATGAGGGCCTTACGTTACCTGGAGAGTTTAGAAAAACTGAAGTTGTTCTCCTAACAGCAGAAAATATTAGAGTAGATTTGACAGAAATGTTCAAAATCGTGAAAACTTTGGACACAGTAAAAAAGGATAAAATGTCTCCAGTGACAGAAGTATCGGTAACAGGATATTGGTAAAGAACCAAAGACAGTTTTATTCAGTTACTTCTTATGATTGGGAGTTAACTGCCTGAAAGAGTAGCAGGAGCAAATTCAATAACATTTGAAGGGCTATGGGGAAAGAGCTACGAAGAGGGACTACTTGGTTAGTGGTTTTCAAAGAGATTACGGCATATTCAACTTGATCATGGCTGATCTTCTACCTCATTGCTAATTTATCTTGCCAGCCTCCTATCCCTTAATATCTTTGGCATCCAAAAAACAATTGCTCTCTGTCTTGAACATACCCAATGACTAAGCTCCCACAGCCACCTGGGATCAAGAATACTAAAAAGTCAGTACCCTCTGAGTGAAGGGATTCCTTCTCATCTCCATCCTAAATGGCTTGCCTCTTACTTTGAGACTGTGTGACCTATTCTAAACCATTTCCTTTGGAATAAAGGCATGGCTTTTACGATCCTAATGGGGGTGGTCCTGTAGTCAGGTGAGCCCTGACTACCATGTCAGTTTGCCTGCCTGTTCCTGCTCTAGGATGTTTCTTAAAGTGTGACAGGGCTATCGTTCTGCAAGCAGCAGCAACAGAGGCTGTCCAAAGGCATTTTAATGCTTATGGTCAGATGATGACTGAAACTCTGCCCTCGACATTCAGGCCTCCTGAGGCACCAGGGACAAGGCAGACTTCTGCAGTCATACCAAGTACAAAGGATGATGGGAGTGGCAGTCGGAGGCTAATCATTTCAGTCGCCAGACCTTATTTCAGGAATTCCTGAGGACAGTGTCCTCAACCCAGTGATCTTCAGCTGCTTCAGTAACATCGGTCCCACCATCACATGGCAAGAAGTGAGAATGTTCACGGACTCTCTGGGAGTTGGCAAGTTGGATACACAATTGGCTTGATGGTTTGATAAGGTTCACATGGTAGGCTCGTTCAGAAAGTAAAGAGGCATGGGATTCAGGGAAATTTGGCTGTCTGGATACAAAACTGGCTGTCCAAAAGACGACAGAGGGTGGTAGTAGATGGAAAGTATTCAGCCTGGAGCTCGGTGACCAGTGGTATTCCGCAGGGATCTGTTCTGGGACCTCTGCTCTTTGTGATCTTTATAAATGACTTGGATGAGCAAGTGGAAGGGTGGGTTCGTAAGTTTGCCGATGACACGAAGGTTCGTGGAGTTGTGGACAGCATGGAGGGCTGTTGTAGGTTGCAGTGGGACATTGACAGGATGCAGAGCTGGGCAAAGAAGTGGCAGATGGAATTCAACCCAGAAAAGTGTGAAGTGATTCATTTTGGAAGGTCGAATTTGAATGCAGAATACGGGGTTAATGGCAGGATTCTCGGCAGTGTGGAGGAACAGAGGGATCTTGGGGTCCACGTCCATAGATCCCTCAAAGTTGCTACCCGAGTTGATAGGGTTGTAAAGAAGGCATATGGTGTGTTGGCTTTCATTGGCAGGGGAATTGAGTTTAAGAGCTGTGAGGTTATGCTGCAGCTCTATAAAACTCTGGTTAGACCACACTTGGATTATTGTGTTCAGTTCTGGTCACCTCATTATAGGAAGGATGTGGAAGCTTTAGAGAGGGTGCAGAGGAAATTTACCAGGATGCTGCCTGGACTGGAGTGCAGGTCTTATAAGGAAAGTTTGAGGGAGCTAGGGCTTTTCTTATTGGAGCGAAGAAGGATGAGAGGTGACTTGATAGAGGCATACAAGATGATGAGAGGCATAGATAGATTGGATAGCCAGAGACTTCTTCCCAGGGCGGAAATGACTATTACGAGGGGGCATAATTTTAAGGTGATTGGAGGAAGGTATAGGGGAGATGTCAGAGGTAGGTTCTTTACACAGAGAGTGGTGGGCGTGTGGAATGCGCTACCGGCGGTGGTAGTGGAGTCAGAGACTTTAGAGACTTTTAAGCGACTCTTGGATAGGCACATGGAGGATAGTAAAATGTAGGGTATGCAGGTTAGATTGATCTTAGTAGGATAATAGGTCGGCACAACATCGTGGACCGAAAGGCCTGTACTGTGTTGTACTGTTCTATGTTCTATGTAGGAAGCAGAGAGTAATAGTAGAAGGATGCTTGTCGGACTGGAGGCCTGTGACTAGCGGTGTGCCTCGTGTTGGTGCTGGGCCCATTGCTATTTATTATCTATATCAGTGATTTGAATGAGAATGTACAAGGCATGATTAGTAAGTTTGCAGATGACACTAAAATAGGCAGTATTGTGGACAGTGAGAAAGGTTCCTCAGAAATTGCAGCAGGATCTTGAACAGCTGGGGAAGTGGGCTAAGAAATGGCAAATGGAGTTTAATATGGATAAGTGCGAGGTGTTGCATATTGGAAAGTCAAATCAAGGTAGGAATTTTTTGGTGAATGTTAGGGTCTTAAGGAGTGTAGTGGAACAGAGGGACCTTGGAGTTCAGGTGTACGGTTCTCTGAAAGTGGAGTCACAGGTAGACAGGGCAGTGAAGAAGGCATTTGGCACACTGGCCTTCATCAATCAGGACATTGAGTAAAGAAGTTGGGTTGTTATGTTGCAGTTGTACATGATGTTGGTGAGGCCGCACTTGGAGTATTGGGTTCAGTTTTGGTCACCTTGCTATGGGAAGGATGTTATTAAACTGGAAAGAGTGCAGAAGAAATTTACAAGGATGTTGCCAGGACTCAAGGGACTGAGTTATAGGGAGAGGTTGGACAAGCTAGAACTTTTTTCATTAGAGTGTAGGAGACTGTGGAGACATCTTATAGAAGTGGTTAAGATCATGAGAGGCGTGGATAGGGTGAATGCACTCAGTCTTTTTCCCAGGGTTGGGGAATCGAGGACTAGAGGGCATCAGTTTAAGGTAAGAGGGGAAAGAATACATGGGAACCTGAAGGGCAACTTTTTTTTTGACAGAGGGTAGTATGCATATGGAATGAACTGCTAGCGGAAGTGGTTGTGGCAGGTACATTAACAACATTTGAAAGGAATTTGGATGAATGCACAGATAAGAAAGGTTTAGAAAGATATGGGCCAAGTGCAGAGAAATGGGGTTAGCGTGGATGGACATTTTGTTCGGCATGGACCAGTTTGGGCCGAAAGGCCTGCCTCCATGCTGTAGGACTCAATGACTGCATCGTGTTAAGTTCCATTTTCAAGTCTGCAAATTTTGAAACTGTCGGTGTCAACATGTAGCAAGACCTGAACAATATTCAGGTTGAGTTTGGTAAGTGGAAAATACAATTCACACCACACACACAGTGTCAGACAATGGCAGTCTCCAACAAGTGAGTAAGTATCAATCTCCCTTTGATGTTGAAATGCATTATCATTGCAAAATTCCCCATTCACCATAATCCTAAATTCAACATTGCCCAGAAACTCACATGAAACAACCATGTAAATATTGAGCTATAGAAATAGGTCAGACGATACTTATTCTGCAGTGAATAATTCCCCTTTTGACTCTCAAATGTCTCTTCGCCATTGACAAGGCAGTAATCAGGTCTGTGATGGGATGCTCTGCATTTGCCTGAATCAGTGCAGCTCCGACCACACTCAAGAAACTTGACACCATCCAGGACAAAGCAGCCCACTTGAGTCGAGTTTGGGGAAAGCAGTAACCTTGTGGTAATGTCAGTGAATTAGTTGTCCAGAGGGCCAAATATAGATGCAGATCCCAACAGGATGCTAGTGGAATTTCAAGTCAATTTTAAAAATCTGAAATTGAACGTAATTGAACTGCAAAATGCTGAATGTAATGGTTCAATTTAGTGGGCCTGACACCTAATAGTGTCATGGAACTGTCATGATTGTTGTAAAATCCCATCTAGTTTACAAATGTCCCTTTAGGGAATGAAATCAGCCAATCCTACCTGGTCTGAACTTACATTTGACTCCAAGTCTTCTGTTATTGACTCTGAACTGCCCTCTGAAATGGTCTTGGAAGTAATTTAGACGTAGGACAATTAGGGATGGGCATCAAATGGTACGAGCAATGCCTATATACTATGAAAGAATGAATTTTTTAAAAAATCTTTTCCATGTTATACCTTCACTTCCTTCAGATTGGTGCTCTCCTATGTACCATCTCCAAGATGCACTGAAGATTAGCACCAAGGCTTCTTTGACCAAACCCCACAAAGCCAGAACTCCAACATCCCAAATGATAACGGCAGTGGGTGCATGGGAGTAGCAATGCCTTCAAGTAACCTATCTGACTTGGGAATATGTTACTGTTTCTCCATCATCGTTGAGTCAAGCTTCTGAAACTTCCTCCTAGCAGCACTGTGGATAAACCTTCACCACAAGGTTAAAAGCAGTTTGATAAAATGGCTCCTCAGTACCATTTCATGCGCAACTCGGGTTTTACAATCAAGAAGATATTTGAATTTCAGTGACCAACTTAAAAGATCACACAAGTCTTTAAGGTTTTAAGACCTTTAATAGGAAAAACAATATTGTTTAAAACCACAGGAGTAAGCAAGATATACTCTAATTCTGTAGTATCCTATTCCCCTCTCTATCTATGGCTAGGTGAATCGTCAGCCTTTTTTGTTTATTTCTCATGGACATGAGCTTTGCTGGCTGGACCAACATTTATTGCCTGACCTTAGTTGCCGTTGAGAAGATGGTGGGGAGCTGCCTTCTTGAACCTCTGCAATCCATGTGGTGTATGTGTTAGGGAGAGAATTCCAGGATTTTGATGCAGTGAACTGAAGGAGTAGCAAAACGGTGAGTGGCTTGGAGCGGAATTTGCAGGTGGTGGTGTCCCCATGTATCCACTGCCCTTGTCCTTCTAGATGGACGTGGTCAAGGGTTTGGAAGATACTGATATGGAGCTGTGTAGATGCTGCTGCTTCTAAGCATCAATGATGGAGGGAGTGGATGCTTGTGGATGCAGTGCTAATCAATTGGACTATTTTGTCTTGGATGGTGTCAAGCTTGTTGAGCTTTGTTGAAGCACCATGCATCCGGGCAAGTGGGGAGTATTTTATCACACTCCTGACTTGTGCTTTGTAGTTGGTGGACAGAAGTGGGAAGTCAGATAGTGAGTTACTCCGTTCAGGATTCCTCATTTCTGAGCTGCTCTTGTTGCTGCAGTATTTTTATGGTGAGTCCCGTGGAGATTTTCGTAAATGGTAATCCTCACGATGTTGATAATGAGCGATGATGATGCCATTGAAAGTCAAGGTGCAATGGTTAGATTCCTTCCTATTGGAGATGGTCATTTCTTGGCACTTGTAAGCATGAATGTTATTTGCCAATTGTCAGCCCACTCCTGAATATAGTCCAGGTCTTTCTGATTTGGATGTAGACAGTTTATGTCACAAATGTTGCTGAATGTTGTGCAGTCATCAGCAAACACCTCAGTACTGACCTTGTGATGGAGGGAAGGTCTTGATGAAGCAGCTGATGATGGTTTGGCCTAGGACACTATCCTGAGGAACTCCTACAGAGATGTCCTGGAATTGAGAAGACTGATCTTCAACAACCACAACTGTCTTCCTTTGTTCCAGGTATGACTCTAACTAGCAGAGAGTTTTCCTTGATTCCTATTGATTGCAGTTTTGCTAAGGCTTCTAAGATTCTGAACTTGGTCAAATGTGGTTTTGATGTCAAGGACTGTCACACTCACCTCACCTGTAGAATTCAGCTCCTTTGTCTATGTTTAAACCAAGGCTGTTATGAGGTCAGGAACTGAGTGGCCCTGACGGAACCCAAACAGGGCATCAATGAGCAAGTTATTACTGAGAAAGTGCCACTTGATAGCACTGTTGATGACACCGTTGATGACACCTTCCATCATGTTACGGATGATCAAGAGTAAACTAAGGCAGTAATTTGTCGGGTTGGATTTGTCCTGCTTTTTGTGTGCAGGACAAACTTGGGCAATTTTCCATATTGTTGAGTATGGCAGTATTTTAGCTATACTGGAACAGCTTGGCTAGGGGAACGGCAAGTTCTGGAGCACAGGTCTTTGGTACTATTGCCAGACTGTTGTCAGGCCCAGACCCGTTTCTTGATTTCGCGTGGTGTGAAATGCATTGGCTGAAGACTAGCATCTGTAATTTTGGCGACCTACAGAGGAAGCCAAGATGGATTGTCCACTGAGCACTTCTGGTTAAAGATTTTACAAATACTTTAGCCTTACCCTTTACACTAATGTGCTGAGCTCCTTCCATCTGAAGGTGGGGTATTTGTGGAGTCTCCATCTACAGTGAGTTGTTTAATTGTTCATCACTATTCAAAACTGGATTTGGCAGGACTGCAGAGCTTAGATCTGACTCAATGGCTGTGACGTTGCTTACCTGTTTCTGTCACTTGCTGTGTATGCTGAATTCCATGCAAGTAGTCCTGTATGGTAACTTCACCAGGTTGGCTCCCCATTTTCAGGTATGCCTGATGCTGCTTCTAGCATGCCCTTCTGCACTCTCCTTTGAACCGGGGATGATACCCTGTCAAAACTGAATTTAAAGGATTTACTTTGACTACTGTACTAAGCACATGATAAAAGGTGACACTGCAGTGTATTAATAGCTAATCAAATAATTATTTATAGATAGTTTCCTTTTAATGTGCTGTTATTGAGATGTTATCTGACTAATTATCTGCTGTTCTTTTAATATCCTGTTTTTAATATTGAAGGAAATTGCCAAAATCTGCTATCATCATGGCAGGCTTCCCTGTACCACCAGCACATTAACTGGGTCATTCATCATGTTTGCTGGTTGTGAGAAAAGTGGATACCACATTTTCTTACTTGAGTTGTCGCTCTGTGTTCATTCTACATGAAACAGCTTGAGAAATGTTGAAGTGTTACTTACGTACTTATCCTTCTTTATTAAAAAAATATATAAGTTGCTGTACTGCAGGTGTTCAAACTGCAGACTTTTAGCCAAATAAATTGACAGTTGGTGTGTTTACTGAGATTGTGCCTGATGTTTGATTGCAGGATGCTGGAACAGGCGAAGTGGACAAGAATAAATTTTGCATCCTATGCAATATGGTTTTCACATCCCCCATAGTTGCTCAGTCCCATTATAAAGGCAAGATTCATGCAAAGCGGCTCAAACAGCTTGTCGGAGAGCAGCCGTGTATCACACAGCCACAGACTGGTAGGAGTAAGCTCATTCTGAAGATTCCATTTCCTATGTCATGCTCAATGTCTGATTTTGTCAGAGTACAAGCTATTGGTTCTGACTTCAGTTTGATTCATGGATTCACACTCGACAGTCTTAACCACAAAATGTCTCCCAGTTCTAGAATTGACAGCCAGGGGAAACATCTCTGTAGTTACCAAGTCATTCCCTGTAAGAATTTTGAAAGTTTCAATGAGATCGCCTCTCATTGTTTGAAATTCTAGACAGCGCAAGCCAACTTCTTCAGTCTCTCCTCGTAAGACATTCTAGCCATCCCAAGGATTAATCTGGTGAACAAAAACAGAAGTTACTGCAAAAGCTCAGCAGGTCTGGCAACATCTGTGAAGAAAAAATCAGAGTTAACATTTCGGGTCCAGTGACCCTTCCTCAGAACTCAGACCTGCTGAGATTTTCCAGCAACTTCTGTTTTTGTTCCTGATATACAGCATCTGCAGTTCTTTCGGTTTTTATTAACCTGGTGAAATTCCATTGCACTCCCTCTGCGGCCAGAATATCCTTCCTTAGATAAGGCGTCCAAAACTGTACACAATATTCCAGCTAAGATTGCAATGAGGCTGTATCAATTGCAGCAAGATATCTTTGTTCTCAAATTCCCTTGAAATGAATGTTAATATACTGTTTAACCTTCTAATTCGTAGCTACACTCGCATGCTAGTTTTTAGAAACTCACGGACAAGGACACTCAGGTTTTTTTGGACACCTGCACTTCCTAAACACTCCCCATTTATGAAATATTTTCTGTGTTTTCTGCCAAAAATGAATCTGTTTAAATTTATTTACATTATATTCCATTTTCCATGTTCTAGCCCATTCACATAGCCTATCCAAGTCCTCTGAATCCTCTTTGCACCTGCCTCACAACCTACATTCCTACCCAGTTGGTAGTGTCATCAGCAAATCTGTAAAAAAAGTGCAATATTCATCAATAAGATATGTGGTTCCATGTCCAAATCATTTAAAAAGATTGTAAACAGTTATGGACTTAGCATTAACCACTGTTGTATCCCACTAAATAGCTGCCTGCCCCCCATTCTGAGTACAATCCAATTAGAATAGCCTTTATTGTCACGTGCACTCAAAGTAGTGCAGTGAAAAATTTGCAATGTTGTCTGTTGGCTCCATCTTAGGGACAGGCTACTTTGTGTTGTCATAGAATTGAAATAGTAAAAAAAAATTAGCATGGGAATACAGAGTTTAAAAGCCCAGAATGAGTATAAAAGGTGTCTATAAAGAACTCAACTTATAGTCCTTTTCCAAAATGAGTCTGGGCCCACCGAGCTTCAGAACACAAGGCCGTGCTGCCTTCATGTGCTGGCCTGTGTCCAGGACTCGCTCTGCTACCGCTCAGGGTTCTGGCCCGCAGCTTGGCCCATGCTCGCTCTGCTGCTGCTCCAGGACTCGGCCCACACTCCGCTTTCACTCTAGGACGCAGCCCGCGACTTGGTTTGCACTCGTTCTGCTGCCGCTATGGGCTCTGGCTGTCACTCGCTCTGCTCCCTGCTCCAGAACTCGTCCCATGCACTCTGCTCCCGCCCCCGCCCAGGCTCCAACCGCGACTTGTCTACATTTGTCTCGCCTCCATTCTCCAGGTGGGGTAGGGTGGTATAAGAAGTTGGGCAGGGGGGTGAGGGAAGAGAAACTGCTGCAAAGAGGAAAAAAAAAGATAGAGAAAGGAAAAAGAACTGGCGAGCAGAGAAGCTCCAACTGGAGCATCTTACTCTGCCGCCATCTTGAATGAATTATTCCTACCCTCTGCTCTCTGTCGAGTCTATCCTAGCCAATTCTTAAATCATTGTGGTATACTTCCCCATCCCATGTGCAGTAGTTTTATTTGCTAACCTCATGTCCATGCAATATTGCACATTAACCCCTTAATTTTCATTAAAGTTTCCAAACTTTCCCCTACCACATACATTAACAGCCATTAATTACCAAAATTGGTATTTGTTCAGAATGCAGTTATTCTCTGTAATACTGTACTCTGATACTTTCTGTCATGTAAATAGCTTAAGACATAATTATCATTACATTGTGTAATGGATCAGTTTTATTACTACAGGTATTTCTGCTATAATGTGTTTCATTAACATGAATTGGCAATTGATGAATAGTGGACGCTGTAATGCAAACTTCCCCTTAACGTGATCTTCTATGGGGATTTTCTATAGCAGGAAATCACACAACGCAACTATCAGTTTAAAGGAGAAGCACCTGTAAAATAATTTGTAAAACTTAACTTGGATAGATTTCTGTGGTCTAGTTCTATACAAACAGGTTAATCATGATCTTACTGACTGGTAGAGCAGGTTCAAGGGGCTGAATGGCCTACTTCTCCTAATTTTTATGTTCATTCTCATTAGAACAACATATTTAAGAATATTATTGTTTTTTTTTGGATTGAAAACTTGAAATTTGATCAAATAGTGTTTGATTTGTACCTTTATATGGCCCCAATTTCTGGGGCATAGGTATGATCTGTTAGCTATATGACATTACAGATATAAGTGTATTTGTTCTCCTCCAGTAGAAGCTGTGCACTATTCAACTTCTCAAAAACAGTAATATGAAGTGTAAAATTTGAAAGCTATCTTGAGTCATTGCAGCCATTTTTTGAATTTCAGTGCTGTGTTCTATCACAGTGACCACAAATGTGGCAAGTCCACCTTCAGAGGAGGGGTCTGTGCAGAGTGAGCAACTGGAAAAGGGCAAACAAGAAGTGGCACAGGAAGCTGCTACAGCAGCTTCCGCAGCTTTGGACCTGGAGGATCCCAACAGGTTCTGCAAACTTTGCAATGCCTCTTTTAACAACCCACTAATGGCCCAGCAACATTACAATGGCAAGAAGCACAAGAAAAATGACCTAAGGAGACAACTAATGGAGGAAATGGGGAAGGAGACAGATTCTCCTGAGAAGAATGGTGAGTAATTCTCAATATCACTGCATTAGGGGAGGCAGTGGTATAGTGGTGATGTCACTGGTAATCCAGAACTCCAGGCTAATGTTCTGGGTATGAGCTCAAACTCATCATGGCAGATGGTGAAATTTGAATTCTAGACAAGAAATATTTGTAACCACTGTAAATTGTCATTAAACAAAAACTGATTCATTTTGTGGCAGGACATATGCTGTCTGATCTGGCCTACATGTCACTCCAAACACAGCAACGTGGTTGACTCTTAACTGCCCTCTGGGCAATTAGGGATGAGCAATATATTATGTCCTAACCAGTGATACCCACATTTCATGAGCAATTTTTTTCTAATTGGTAAAAATAGGAAGAATGCAGGTACAACAGACATTACATTCACTGGTTTCACAAATTCTGAATCAAGATCTTCAGATTTTAGGTGAACTGGAGAATACAAGAAAAGAAACATGGCTTGATGTCAAGTTGTAACTTTGTAAGTCAGAAATTTGCGGACATTTGCAATCTATATTGAAATGCCCGCTGACTAAATATAAAGATAATCTTGAGTAACAAGCACAATGGAAGTCATTGCTCAAGAGCAGCCAGGACTGAGCAATGAATGCTAGCCAACCCAGCAATGCTCGTATCACACAAAAGCATAAAGAAAACACTGCAACAGCACACAGGCTCACAGAATAGGCAGATAAGTGGCAGATGGAATTTAATAGTGTGAGCTGATAAATTTGGGCAAAAAAATAGCAAGAAATAGGGAAAATGGAGAGTTACCTCAGAGTACAACGGGGCCGTGATCAGATGGGCAAATGGGCCGAGAATGGCACCTGTAGTACAAAGTGAATCAAAGTGATGGAAGTAATGTTGTTCGTAAAGATTATCATTTACATGCTTAATTCCTAAGCATCTGTATGTTTGAAAATAAGTAAATAGGTAACAGTCTTAATCTTGTACAGATTTGGTCATAATTGGAAAAATAATTCGGATTATGTTTTGTAGTAGGAGCGGGTGACTATCCATGTGCTATCTGCAATGTTACACTCAATTCCATTGAGCAGTACCAGTGTCACCTACAAGGATACAAACATCACTTGAAGTAAGAGTTTTGCATTTTTTTCCATCCAAATCCCACTGATACAAATACACTTGTTATGTTAATGATTGGGATTGAATTACAAAATACCACGTTGCTTGAAGGTTTGCTAGTAATGAAACTGACAATAAGTCTTTCTGGAAACAAGCTGTTTGGCTTTTCATATTTCATTTGTGCATTTTGCCATTCATTAATGTTTAGTTTATGTAAATCAGTTGACATTTTTTCAACTAAATTCCATATGGAGCAACAAGATGGTTCAGTGGTTAGCACTGCTGCCTCACTGCGCCAGGGAGCCGGGTTTAATTCCACCCTCAGGCATCTGTCTGTGTGGAGTTTGTACGTTCTCCCCATGTCTGCGTGGGGTTCCTCCAGGTGCGCCAGTTTCCTCCCACAGTCCAAAGATGTGCAGGTTAAGTGGAATGGCCATGTCAAATTTTTCAGTGTCCAAGGATGTTCAGGCTAGGTGGATTAGCCATGGGAGATGCAGGGCTGCAGGGATAGGGTAGGGGGTTGGATCTGGGTGGGCTGCTTTTCAGAGGGTCAGTGTGGACTCAATAAGCTGAATGGCCTGCTTCCACACCAAAGAGATTCTATGATTAGGTCTATGCATTGAATTAGGAATATATATATATATATAGTTTTTTCTGGATTACTTTTGGATAAATCATATCCTTGGGGAAATTCATGCATTTTCTAATGTAGTAACTTAGCATGGTAATTTCCGTCATATTGAAAGTTAGTATCTCCTGGCTAACCTATTTATGTGGTACATTCTTGACATGAAGGATCCCAGTCATTTTTGTGACAGAGTGTGATGAACAGCCTGTAATCGGGGAGCCCTGTGTAATCTAATTTACATGCTCCACTAAAAGCAAGTGCTGATCATTTTGTTTTTATTTATCCACAGAGAAAATAAAGTGGTTAACCTGGTAAAGAATACTAAGTCAAAGATCTACGACTCATTCCAGGATGAACTCGATGACTTTATTAAAGTTCAGAAAGCAAGGGGTCTGGTGCCAAAGGTGTCCTTTAGAAAATTTGAAGACAATCAGGAAGAAGAAGACACTGTGAACTTGCCTTCAGCCAGCCCACCCCATTCTCCTGCATATCCGTTGGAAGGTTTCCCTACAGCCAAACCAAGTGGTCTCCCAGATGAACACGCTTTCCCAAATTACGTGGAAATTGGAGCTGAGCTGTTGCCCACGTTGCAAAATGACCATCTGAGGGACAAATGCGAACAAAATAGTAACTTGCATATAGAATGCCACACACACATGCAACTTGCTCTGATGCCAACGCATCCAGAAAATAGTCAAGGTCCATCCAGCTTGGAGTCATTCGATGAATGTAAACCCATAACCTCTGATGACAGCTTAGACTCTTGCAAAAAAGACAAGATTAGAGGGAAGAAGAAACACAGAAGGGACAAAAGAAACAAGGAAATAGAAACTAAAAGGGAAAGTGAGCTTCTGAGCTACAGGGTAGAGGAGAGCCCTGAGGGACTGTGTTTGGAACAAGTTAAAGATGAGTCAAAGCAGAAAGCAGAGCAAAGGGATCGAAATGAGTTTATTCTCAACAAAGAAAAGGTAAAACATAAAAAGGAAAAAAAGGAACTTAATCAAGAAAAGGAGGAAATGAAACTAAAACATAAAAAGCAAAAGAAAAAGAAGGAAGTTGATACAAGAACAGAAGAAGAAAAACTTTGGGATGAATCTATTTTGGGAATTTGATACAAAGGAACTTTGAGGACTTTGATGCTTGATCACGGTTTTAATTTGCTCAAGCACTTCTGAGAATAAAAATATACGGTTGTTAATAAAAGTGTTTGAAGATTCAATTATTTTTCTCCCCAGTAAATCAATATTGTTCAGATGTTGTTCATCATCTCTGTGAGCTCTTGTTTGTTACTGTAATTTTCCAATCAGCTGTAACCTGAGTTATGAAATATATTGCTGACATCTAATGATGTTTTAAGTGTCCTTGAGCATTTGCTCTTCACTTTGTCAAACTGCTTTATAATTCTGATGCGTTATGGTAACTTGTAAATTCTTGGGCCGTTCAGACTTGTTTAACTTTTAATAAACAGTGTGATTATAGTTTTAAATGGCTTCTTGTTAAGTCACATCACGTAATAGATGGATGCTATGTCAAAATATAGCTATGTCAAAATATATGCAAATATGGTGAGCTGATCCGGAAAGAATGTTCGCAAAGAAATTTTATTTCTATAATACCTCTTTATAGGCAGGCATTTCCTGTCCAACACATCTCAGATGTCACAAAAGTATCTGTGCAGTTTTCTGTAGCACATGTTGATTCCAGAGTTGAGAGGGTTGGATTATGAGGAGAGACAGTGTAGACTGGGATTATACTCATTGGAATTCAGAAGAATGAGGGGAGATCTTATAGAAACATATAAGATTATGAAGGGAATAGATAAAGTGGAGGCAGGGAGGTTGTTTCCACTAGCAGGTGAAACTAGGACTAGAGGGCATCACCTCAAAATAAAGGGAAGCAGATGTAGGACTGAGGTCAGGAGGAACTTCTTCACCCAAAGGGTTGTGAATCTGTGGAATTCCCTGCCCAGTGAAGTGGTTGAAGCTACCTCGCTGAATGTTTTTAAGGCAAGGCTAGATAAATTTTTGAACAGTAAAGGAATTAAGGGTTATGGTGAGTGGGCGGGTAAACGGAGCTGAGTCTCAAAAAGATCAGCCATGATCTTATTAAATGGCGGGGCAGGCTCAAGGGGCCGGATGGCCTACTCCTGCTCCTAGTTCTTATGTTCTTATGTTGGGGAGTGAATGAATGATTTGTGAATGACTGATCTATTTATTGTCACTTGCATTTTCAATGATTAATACAGTAAAATGCAGCGAAAAGCTTCAATTGTCACCACAATCTGGTGCCATTTTGAATAGTTCAACAATAAAAAGAGTGAAAAGATATAACTGAAAGAGGGTCTTTCAGTAACTTGCTGCTGCCTGCGCCAGACCCACTAATGTAATAGTCGCTATTCTTTAGATGCCATCTCTTTGCTGCTGGACCCACCTTGCCACCATTGAGTGCCACGCTGAACTGATACTACCACCGCCCCCCCCAATCCCCCCAAGGTCAGGAGTCCTCACATTTGGCATACCAAGACTAGGAATCCCTGGCTCCGCTGCCACCTCGCCAGCACCAAGAGTCCCCACTCTTCACCTGGGAGTGCCTGGTTCTGCTGCCGGGCCAGGCCCCTGGTCGCTGGAGGAGCTTTGCTCCCGCGGCTGCCAGCCCTAAATGTCAGGAGGATATTCTTGCTGCTGCTTCCGCCACTCTGCACACAGCCTGCTCTCGCTGCTGCGCTGATTCTACAGACTAACCTGCCAAAGAAAAACAGAAAAGGAAAGGAAAAGAGCAGAAGTTAAAAAAAGAAAAGAGATAAAGCAGATGAGACCCAGACAAGATCCATGCTACTCTGCTGCCATCCTGATAAGGAGTATAATCTTTGAGTATACTGAAATAAAATCAGTCTTTTACAATGTACAAATTCACTTAACACAGATAGTTACTTAATGCCAATAGGTGTCCTAAACGTAAAGGACCGACTTACAAATCTCATCGAGTTTTTTGAAGACGTAACAAAGGTAGTGAACAGATGTAAGTCGATGGATGTTGTTTATATGGACTTCCAAAAGGCTTGTGATAAAGTCCAACACAAAAGACTGTTAGCTGAGGTGGACATCCACAGAACTGAGGGCAAATTACTGATATGGATAGGGAATTGGTTGAGCGGCAGGAACTAGAGAAGTGGAATAATAGGTAAGGACTCAAATTGGCTCAACATGACTAGATGTGTCCCACAGGGATCTGTTTTGTGGCCTTATTTATTCACAATATTTGTTAAGGACTTGGACATTGGCATAAAAAGTCAAGTGGCCAGATTTGCTGCTGACATAAAATTTGGCAATGTTGACAATGTTGACGACAGCATAAAATTACAACATGATATTGGTAGATTAAGTGAATGGGTAAAGCAGCTGTGGCATATTGATTTTAATATAAGCAAGTGTGAGATCATCCATTTTGGACTGAGAAAGGATCGATCTGGGTATTTTTAGAAGGTACAAAGTTAAATACAGTAGATGTCCAATGAGATTTGGAGGTTCAGGTGCATAACTCTTCAAAATGCTATGTACAGGTACAGAAAATAGTCAGAAAGGCTAATGGAATGCTGGCCTTCATATCTTAAAGGGCTGGAGTATAGGGATGCAGATGTTATGCTGCAGTTGTACAAGATGCTCATTAGACACCACTTAGTTTACTGAGAGCAGATCTGGACACCACATATTAGGAAGGATGTTTTGGTCCTGGAGGGAGTTCAACACAAGAATAATACCTGGACTCTAGGGGTTAGGTTATGAGGAGAGGTTAGACAAATTAGACCTTTATTCAAAGGATGCTCTGGAAGGCATGATTTAATCGAGGTCTTCAGGATGTTAACAAGGAAAGACAGAGTAGATAAAGGTAAACCTTTCCACTGGCTGAAGAGTCTAGAACCGGGGGCATAGTCTACAAATAGGAGGGGAGGCGACGGCCTAGTGGTATTATCGCTGGATTTAATCCAAAGACCCAAGCAATGTTCTGGGCACTCAGGTTTGAATCCCAGACTGTGGAATTTGCATTTAATGAAAACCTGGAATTAAGAGTCTAATGATGACCATGAATATTTTTTTTCTTTATTCGTTCACAGGATGAGGGCATCGTTGCCTAGGCCAGCATTTATTGCCCATCCCTAATTGCCCAGAGGGCAGTTAAGAGTCAACCACATTGCTGTGGCTCTGGAGTCACATGTAGGCCAGACCAGGTAAGGATGGCAGTTTCCTTCCCTAAAGGACATTAATGAACCAAATGGGTTTTGTTGTAGATTGTTGGGAAAAACCCATCTGGTTCACAGATGTCCTTTAGGGAAGCAAACTGCCATTCTTTCCTGGTCAGACCAACATGCCTGATGTGGTTGATTCTTAACTGTCCTCTGGGCAATGAGGGATAGATAATAAATGCTGACCTAGCCAGTGATGCCATGAATAAAACAAAATAGGGCCAGGCCATTCAGGAGAGATGTTAGAAAGCACTTCTATGCACAGAGTAGTGGGGTTTTGGAAATCTCTTCCTCAAGTGGCAGTTGATATTAATTCAATTGTTAAATTTAAATCTGCAATTGATTTTTTTTTAATTAAGCAAGGGTACAAAGGGATATTGCTGCAAGGCTGGCTTATGGAGTTAGGCAACAGAGCAGGTATTACCTTATTGAATGGTAGAGCAGGCCTGAGGGCCTCAAAGGCCTGTGTTCCTACTCCTACACCCCAGGAATAACATTTTTCATGATGTTATTGTTCCTATCCATTTGCAATAACACATCCTCTGAAACGCAGAGTAGAGCTCAGGAGCTGGTGTGTGTAGTTGCTCTGCATCACACTAGGTGTCATACATTGTCTAACATGGATGTCTACATCACACTTCAAAGCAAAATCTATCAAGAAGTAAAAATATTCTTCAATAATGTACAGAATGGAAAATAACAGTGCCACAATGGCTACATCCTCTTAGAACATACAAAGTAGGAGTAGAATTCCTTCCCTAAGGCCATTATGGGTCAACCTACAGTAGGTGGACTGCAGTGGTTCAAGAAGGCAGCTCACCAGCACCTTCCCAAGGGCAACTAGGATGGGCAAGAAATGCTGGCCAGCCAGCTGTCCCCATGACCCACAAGTGAATAGGAAATAAAAGCAAGCCATAAACCATTTCCCTTCTAAGGGAAGGCAATGGCCTAATGGTATTATCACTAGACTATTAATCCAGAGACCCCATAATGTTCTGGTTTGAATCCTGACATGGCAGATGGTGGAATTGGATTCAACAATAAAAACCTAGAATTAAGAATCTACTGATGACCATGAAATCATTGTTGATTGTCAGAAAAACCCATCTGCTTGACTAATATTCTTCAGGGAAAGAAATCTATTAACCTCACCTGGGCTGGGTACACGTGACTCCATGTGGCAATATGGCAAATTGCCCTCTGAAATGGCCTAGCAAGCCACTCAGTTGTTCCAAGCGCTACAAAGTCTCAAAGAAATGAAACTGGACGTATCACCTGGTCTCGACCTAAGCATCAGAAAAGACAACAGCAGAAACAGCCCTGTCGACCCTGCAAAGTCCTCCTCACTAACATATGGGATCTAGTGCCAAAATTGGGAGAGCTGTCTCACAGACTAGTGAAGCAACAGCCTGACATAGTCATACTCATGGAATCATACCTTACAATGTCCCAGACAGGATATGTCCTGTCCCACCAGCAGGACAGACCCAGCAGAGGTGGTAGCACACCGGTATACAGTCGGGAGGGTGTTGCTCTAGCAGTCCTCAACGTTGATTCTGAACCCCATGAAGTCTCATGGCTTCAGGTTAAACATGGGTAAGGAAACCTCCTGCTCATTACCACAGACTGTCCTCCCTCGGCTGATGAATCAGTACTCCTCAATGTTGAACAACACTTAGAGGAAGTACTGAGGATGGCAAGGGCACAAAATGTATTCTGGGTGGGGGATGTCAATGTCCACCACCAAGAGTGTGATATGGCGGCAATGCAATGTTGGACTGAGGTGGACGAAGTCAGAAATCACAGGACGCCAGGTTATAGTCCAACAGGTTTATTTGAAATCACAGGCTTTTGGAGTGCTGCTTCTTCACCTAATGAAGGCCCAGAGGGCAGTAAAGAGTCAACCACATTGCTGTGGGTCTGGAGTCACATGTAGGTCAGACCAGCTAAGGATTGCAGATTCCTTCCCTAAAGGACATTAGTGAACCAGATGGGTTTTTCTGACAATCGACAATGGTTTCACGGTCATCATTAGACTCTTAATTTCAGAATTTTATTGAATATTTTTATTATTTAATATGTTTATTAAAGAAGCCACCCCCTATGGACAAACCCTGCACATACACAGGATCTGCTCAGATGAGGAGGAACACGACGGACACCTAAAGATTTTGAAGGATACACTCATAAGAACAGGATACGATGCTCAACTCATTGATCGCCAGTTCTGATGTGCCACAGTGAAAA